ATTAGAGCCTCTGTTCCATGCCCCTAACACCACCCTCCAATTCTGGCCCACAGGCTCTCATGCCACTCACTGTTCTTTATCCAGTTTCACCCTGAAATTTCCATCACTCGCATCCAATACCTAGGATCCTTCCCACCTGCACACTGGAAGCACTGGTGTATTCCCACTTTTTCCTTCGTTCAAGGCCACTCTATTTAGGACAGTGAATCCCTCCCCACGTTCAGTATCCTTACTTTAGTCTAGATTTCCTAATTAATGTATAGATGTGTAAGGCCTGGATCCCAGCTAACTTCTGCTTCCCAGGCCCTCCCAGGGCAGTGGCTATCAAAGGCAAGCTTTTCCGTTCCCTAACACCAGCTCTAAAAGACATCTGAGTAAACATCTTCCTCCTTTGGCTCTTAATTCCCCTCTTTTTTTCTCACATTCTGCCTTTTTAACCTGTATATAATCTCTAAGTTTCCTATTTCCTTATGGATAAATATGCTTGTATTTCTCTCTAAATGCCAGTTTCTCCCCAACCCTACTTTTACCCCAGATCTTCCTTCTCTCTACCCCAACATTAGTGATTCCAGCATGAAACTGTAAAGAGCTTTAAGAGTTCTTCAAACTTTGCTGTGGAAAACATTGTCTTGGAGATTTCAAGATCTGACTTTTTCCTTAGTTGGCCCTTGGGACCAGGAATGATCACCTTTCTTTTCCTTTCATTGCTCAACCAACCCTCTTCCTGACTTCTCTTTCTTGCCTTCCTGCCTTCTAGTGTCCAAGTCCTTTTTTTCTCATAATTCTGTTTCTGTCAAAGAAGCCCCTCCCTACAGCCCATAATCCAGACTAAAATTGTCTTTCTTTTTCTTTTTTAGATGGAGTCTCGCTCTATTGCACAGGCTGGAGTACAGTGGCGCGATCTTGGCTCATTGCAATCTCCACCTGCCAGGTTCAAGACATTCTTGTGCCTCCACCTTCCAAGTACCTGGAATTACAGGCACACCCCCACCACACCTGGCTAATGTTTGTGTTTTTAATAGAAATGGGGTTTCGCCATGTTGGCCAGGTTGGTCTTGAACTCCTGACCTCAAGTGATCCGCCTGCCTCGGCCTCCAAAACTGCTGGAATTACAGGTATAAGCCACCGCACCTGGCCCATTTTTTTCTATTTCATGAACTGCATCATAAATAAAGCAGAGCCCTCTGGAGGAACCCCTTTTCTTCCCAAGAATGTCTATGTCATTGAGAAAGCGATCCTCCCTCTTTCTCTACCCTTTCCTGGCAAATCAAAATAGCCAGACCCACATAAGTGTTCCTGGTGCAGCCATCATGTCTTATGGATGTCCCTCCACTCTGCCGGATGCAGACTCCGGCAGCAGAGCTCACCAGGGCCTTAGCTTTTCTTTTTGTCCTGCACCAACGTGATTTGCTGTCCCTTCCTTATTGGCCTATCCTAAAAAAA